TTTATATGAATAAATAAAAAAAAAAAGAGAGAGGGGGAGAGAGGGAGAGAGAGAGAGAGAGAGAGAGAGAGAGAGAGAGAGAAGAGAATAGGAAATTGATTGATAATGACCTTGTACCTTGAATTGTACATATACACACATTATAGTTTTTTTTAATTACAAATTTAAACAGATTTTCATCATTAAACTGTATTACCGGTATTTAATGTGTGCGTGTGTTGTTTTTTTTCCGGAATTTGTTTTTCCATTCCAAATGCTTAATGATGATTGTCAGGTTTTTTGTTTGTTTGTTATCGTTGATATTTCAACAAAGCGATTACAACTGGACAACAACAAAAAAGTTGAAATGTTATATTTTTCAAATTGAAATAAAAAAAATCCTAAAAACCTTCTAATGTCAAATTAATTCGATATTAAAGATTATATTGGTTGTAAATTGATCCGAAAAATAAAGCTAAAACCAATGACAATTACAAATGGGAAATGTTTTTTTTGTTGTTTGAGACAAATTCAGATGACAAGTTGTCGAAAAAAAATCATAATTCGAGGCCATTTTGTTTTTGTTTTCATTTTTATTTCTGAAAAAAAATCGACTAATCACAGGATCATAACTGAAGAAAAACAACAAGACAAGACATTAAATTCATTGGAATATCTCCAATGTCAAGAGAAAAGAAAAACGAAATTATTATTAGCTTTCTCTCTCTTTCTCAGGTGACAAATTTTACCTTGTTTTGCTTATCAAAAGTAGTCAGCATAAAGAAAGAAAACAAAATTACATTGAAAATAATGATGAATCAATGAAAGAGTCAATTCGATTAATAGTATTTTTTCAAAAAAATCAAAGTCAAATTGATTTTTTTGATTTGAAATTTTCAAAAAAAGAATCGTGTTTTTCGATTCGTGCTTGTGTGTAGTGATTTGTTTGATTTTTTCAAAATTTCGGTAAAGAAATTTTTACAAAAGGTTTTTTTCATTGTTTGTGCCAATAATGTGCCCAAAATAGTAACAAAAATAGACCAAAATAAGAAAAAATTGACGAAAAAAGAACTGAAACAAATTAACATTGAAAAAACATCAAACAGCAACGGCAAGATAGCATAATGGATGTAAAATCCAATGTATAATTCGTGTGCTTGGATGTTTATTATTAAGGCATGTGAGTGTCAGTGTGTGTGTGTGATTTGTGTAATTTAAAACCAAATTGACTTTGATTTATTTTGTCAAAAACGACAAACATTCAAATTTTGAAAAATATATTCAAATCATCCGTTATCCGGATACATTTTTTTTTCTTTCTTGTTCATCATCATCATCTGATTAATCTGAAAGCAGTGCGGTAAGTTTAAAGTTTTTTCATTTAAATTTTTTTTTACTTGCTGGCTGATGTAACCTGAATATAATTATTACATCAGCCAGCAAAACATGAGCATGCTGATTGTGAAGAGGAGGGAGGGAGAATTTTTTTTAACATTTACAAAAAAACAAGAAAAAAATTCTTGACTAAATTGACTAATTTAATGAATGCCGGTTGTTAATATTGAAATTCCATCGTTTAAAAATGAAAGAAAAAGAAGAAAAAGAAAATCTATGATTAATGAACTTTGTTTGTTTGTTTGTTTGGGTTTTGGGTTTGGTTGAACAGAACTCATAATCATCAATTATCAATTGGCTTTTTTTTCTCCCCGATATATGAATTTCGAATATAATCACATATTACCTTTCTCTCTATATCTTTTGATCTTGTGTCCTTATATTTATGGTGATAAACATGTGATTAGAGAGCGAAAAAAAAATGAAAAGTGTCGACTTCTTCTTCATTTTTTATCATCAAAAATCCATTAACACAAACGCACACCGCAAGATATTATAATTTTGTGGTTCATATAATCTGATTCTGTTTTTTTCAAGTTTTGATTACAAAATCAATAAAGGTGAACAATGGTGTGTAATTAGACAGATATACAGATTTTTTTTTGTTGATTGCAACTGTGAATGGTAATTTTTTTTTAATTTTTGATTAGAAATTCAAAAAATGAAATCCAGAATTTTAATTAGAGAAAAATCTGCAAAAAAAGATCGTTGTTGTTGTTGTTGGAATAATTCCTGGGAGGAGTTGCACAACTTTTCTCTCTCTCTCTCTCTCTCTCTCTCTCTCTCTCTCTCTCTTGCTAAAAAATATAATCAACCAGATCAGAGAGAGAGAGAGAGGTATATGTTTTTTTTTCATTTTGCGAATGTGAAGAAAAGGCGTCAACAAACCGCAAACCAAACCAAAAAAGCCAGATTTTTAAAGAAAAAGAAAAAATCGAAAGCAAAGAGAAAAATGTTTTTCAAATCTGATCGAATGTTTTTTTGGTTGGTTGGTTGGTTGCTTGGTTCCATCAATATAAACAATTTATAATTTGTAATTTTGTTTAATAATAATTTTTGCGAATTATAAACATTATTATTGAATCATTTGATCATCATCATCAAATCAAATCATCAATCATCAATCATCAATCAACAAACATTGATTATCATTTGATGTTTGATGTTTGATATTTGATGTTTTTTTCATCATCTGCTTTCCTGTTCGGAAAAAAAATCTCGTATATAAAAACCTGGTGACAATTTTGTTTAAATTGATTTTTTCTTTTCTTTTGAATCATTTCAAATCAATCGATCGATCGATCGTGTGACTGATGATCTTGTGCTGTTTTCTCTCTGTCTCTCTCTCTGTTTGTTTATAACCTCGAAGATTATTTTGTTTGATTACCCATCGATCATTTCTCTTCGATTTGATTTTGTTTTTTAGTTTTTTGGATCGCCAGAAATAGAAACCTTATTTTTTTTGTTGTTTGAGGATTTATTTGCAATCAAAAAGACAAATTGATTTTTTGTTTTGATTTTGATTTTGTGTGAAAAAATCATTCAAAAAAATCCATCAAAATCATTCAAGGTAATTCCAAAAAATTAAAAATTCTGTAAATTTGTTGCTTTTCACTGTTGAATATTTTCAATGTTGTTGTTGTTTTTCGACGACGATGATTTATCAATTTCAACAACAACAACGATGCCGACATTATGTTCGTCATCGAATCAACGATTAATTTCATTATCATCGAATCATTCAATTTTTGCTGTTACCACTAAGCAAATCAACAAAATCTAATCTTATCTAACCGAAAAAAAATCATTATTTCCTTTTCTTTTCCTTTCTTTACATTTGATCGTCATCATGATCCTCATCAGAAGAAGACGAAATTTCTGTTTTTTTTTTGTTTCATTCCAAAAATTGATAATTGATCAATCATTCGATTCATATGATGATAATGATTATCATCGATCGATCAATTGATTGATTGATTTTAAACTTTGGAATCATTGATGATGACTATGGGTTTTTCTTGCTCATGAATTTTTTTCTTTTTTTTTTGCCTTCTTTCTCGGCAGAGGGTTATACTGATTTATTTTTTTTTTAAATTGTTTGTTGTTTCCCTTTAAATAACATCATTGGTCTTGTCATTTTTTGCAAAAAGACTTTGACCCGAATCGTTTTGTTTTTTTCCTGGTGGCACCATTTTTGTTTTTTTTTGTTTTTTCAACTGGTGGTTGTTGGGGCCATCATTTTTGTTGCTAGTATCCCTCTGTCGGTTGTCATCATCTTCAACGATTGCTGTCATCATTGATGATTGAAGCCAATTTTTTTTTGTCAAAATACAAAATATAAGAGTGGCATGATTTTTGATTGAATTTTCAATATCCTTTTACCAATTTTCATTTTTCAAAAATTTCATTTTTGATTTTTCTGCCATCAATAACAGTTCGTTTCTGGTCGTTTTTAAATATCACGATAATCAATCGATCGTCACTATCACTATCATCATCATTATAAATGATCCAATGAAAACGACATTTTAAAACATTTTTAAAAATAAATTAAAATATGGATAATAAAATTTCAAATCAAGAAAGGTATGTTTTATTTGTAATTTTAAAATTTGTAATTTTAATTTTAAAAAATTCATTTTAAAACAAACAGTAATGGTAATCAATGTCCAAATATGAATGGATTTCGTTCAGCTCCATCTAACGGTGTGAATGATAATAATAATTTTAATACGGATGAATCAATAAAAACTAATGGTAATCATCAATCAACAGATACCGCTGGTGGTGGTATTAGTAGCGGTGGTGGTGGTGGTGGTGGTGGTTGTCCTTTCGCGAATGGTGGTGGTGGAATTGGTTTCGGTGTTTATGGAAATTTTCCAAAATTAAATGAATCAACATCACGTGAAATACCAAAAGGTGGTATGCTTTATGGTGAATATTTGCATGTAAGTTGATTTTGATTGTTGTAAAATTCCTGAAAAAAAACAAAATTCCATTTTTCTCTTCTTTTATTTAGATTGACAAATTATTATCATGTCAAGAACCAGTTACACGTTTAGTTGGTAATGAAGTACATGATGAACATTTATTCATTATAACACATCAAGCATATGAATTATGGTTTAAACAAATTTTATTTGAAATTGATTCAGTACGTGAAATTATGAATAAACGTGTTAAAGTAAGTGTTTCGTGTGTGTGTTTTTTTTCAATTATCATTTGTTTTGTTAATTGATTTGATTTGTTTTTTGTTTTAGGATGAAGCAAATCTTTTAAAAATAACTTCAAGATTAAATCGTGTTGTTCTTATTTTAAAATTACTTGTTGATCAAGTTACCATACTGGAAACAATGACACCATTAGATTTTATGGAATTTCGTGGTTTTTTATCACCAGCTAGTGGTTTTCAATCAGTACAATTTCGTTTATTAGAAAATAAATTAGGTATTCGTAATGATTTACGTACAAATTATGGAAAAAATTATTATCTAAAAATATTTGAAGATCCAAATGTAATTGATATTATAAAAAAAAGTGAAGATGAACATTCATTATGTGAATTATTACAAATTTGGTTAGAACAAACACCCGGACTTGATAGTCCAGAATTTAATTTTTGGGAACGATATAAATTGGTTGTTAATGAAATGTTAGAACAATTACGAACATCGGCTGAAATGGAAACAGATGAAACATTAAAACATAATGGTTTAGATGAATATAATCGTAAATTAGAATTATTTGATTCAATATTTGATGTTAGTAAACATAATGCATTAAAATCACGTGGTGATCGTCGTTTTACACATAAAGCATTACAAGGTGCATTAATGATATCATTGTATCGTGATGAACCACGTTTTAATTTACCATTTCAAATTTTATTATTATTAATGGATATTGATTCATTGATTACTAAATGGAGAAGTATGATTTTTTTATAATTATTAATTTTTTGTTGTATTTCATTCACTGATTCAATGTTGTTTTTTTTTGTTTCCCCCCCTTTGAATTTTATTTTTTTAAAAAAAAGGTAATCATGTTGAAATGGTTTTACGTATGATTGGTGCACATCAATTTGGTACTGGTGGATCATCCGGTTATCATTATTTACGATCAACATTAAGTGATCGTTATAAAGTTTTTGTCGATCTATTTAATTTATCGACATTTTTAATTCCAAGACATTGTATACCACCATTAACTGTTGCAATGAAAAAACGTTTATCAATGATGGATGATAGTACTATTATAAAAGATTCAACAACAATTAAAATTGAAAAACAACAACAACAACAACAAAATGAAAATAATTTAAATGACGTTGATGATACATTACAATCAAAAATCAATGGAAAATCATTTGAATTGTGAAAAACAATAACGATAGATGGCGTAATATGATCATAATTTTTTCTTTTTTTTTGCTATTTTTTTCGAAAATTTTCGAAAATTTAATTAACTTTAATTACTAAATTGGGAAAATTTCTTTTGTTTTTTTTTCAAAAATATAATTTACTAAGCCAAAATAAAAAAAAACATTCATTTTTTTCTGGAAAAAACCATTCTTTACTAATAACGCTGGATTCCCCTTTTTTTTGGATAAAAATAGCCATTCAAAACATTTAAAAAACCTTAAAAAAACATCATCAGGTTGATTCAATTTGATATTCAAAAAACAAAATATTTATTGAATGCAATCAATCAACTTAAATGATGATGATTATGTCTGTGTGTGACCTTTGTCATTTTCTTTTTGATTGTTAAAACTTAAAACTAAAACATTTTTCATTCATAATTGGACCGTGAATTAAAGAAACTTTATTTTTAAATGATAAAGATGAGTGATGAAGACCACAATCAACCAACCAGCAGCAACTACAGGGATATGACATTATTAAAATCTTTTTTCTGTCTGTTTGTCTGTTTGTTTGTTGAATATAAATGATGATTGAAAACAATTGTTTTTTGTTACAAAAAAACTGATTGATTGATGATCTCATTATCATAATCATAATCATCATTGTTTCTACCATTCAAATTGATTTGATTGATAAAAAATTAGTTTATACAAAATATGTTTACAAACACACACACACAACAGGTTAATTAAGTCATAGTTTCAAATGCTAAATTTATATATCTTTTTTTTCATTTAGGTTGTTCGGTAAGTTCATTCATTCATTCATTCAACAAAAAAAAAAGAAAAAATGCTAGGACCCTAAAATTGAACATACCGAACAACAAACAGGCAAACAAACAGGCAAACAAACATCATAAAATACATGCATGCATGCCAACTCTGACATCGTTTACCTGTGTTTTTTATTTCCATTCAATTTCCATTCAATTGACTTCAAGGTTTTATTCAATCAAAGAAAGAAAAAAGAAAAAAGAAAAATCCCTTATTGAAAAAATACAGATACAGATAGATTGAAAAGAAATAACTTTTTGTTGTTGTTGTTGTTGTTCGTTAGTTAGTTAGTTAGTTATTCATTCAGTCAAAACTTGTTCACAATCATTAGATTTGCCTGTTTGTGTCTGTGTGTGTGTGTGTTTATTCATGCGAATAGATCATCGAATGCATCACAATTATTTTTTTTTTTGTTTGAATATGTATGTGTGTGTCCTGTGTGTCTGTGTCAAGACCTCACCTGCTGCTTGCTTGTTATTTGCTTGCTTGCTTGCTTGCTCAACGAATTTCCATTTTCTCATTTCACATTTGACTGCATTTTATCTATTTATCTGTGTGAGTTTTTTTTTGTTTTGTTGTTTTTTTTCATTGTCCAAATTTCGTTTTTGTTGTTGTTTTTGATATGATTTTTGTTTTGGTTTGTTTGTCGAACATCTTAACTGATTAATAAGAATGGAAATTTCATCAATAAATCGAACAACAACAACAACAACAACAACAGGAAATACATCTTCAGCAATAGCCATTTATAATGATGATGGTAAATCTACAAGAGAAATTGATTATGATCAATATGGTAAAATTCAACAATATTATCAACAACAACCGCAACAACAAAATGAAACATTTGATCAAGTTATTGATGAATTATCGAAAAAATTTCAACATCAAAATTTAGAACAATCAACATCATCAACATCGTCATCATCGATAATATCAATGATACATCATGCTGCAATAACAAATGATTTAGAATTGATGAAAAAATTATTGAAAAAAAAATTTGATGATGAAAATGTTGATGATGAAAATGGACAACAACAACAACAACAACAACAACAACTATTACGATTGATTGATTGTCGTGATTCGGTAAGGCAAACAAAATGAAAATCAGACATTCATTGTCAAAGAACTGAACTGAATTTTTCATTTTCAAAAATCAATAGGAATCAAATACACCACTTTTATTGGCCGCATTGAATGGTCATCGTGAAATGGTTAAATTTTTACTTAATATTGGTGCATCGATTGATTCGAAAAATTTTTTTGTAAGTAAAATTTTTTTTGCTTCTTCAATAATTTCATTTCATTTCATTTTTTTATATAAAAAAATATTAGAATAATAATGCATTACACGAAGCAGCATGGAAAGGTTTTAGTGAAACACTTGAAATACTTTGTAATCATTTGCAAAAAAATCAAAATACTAATAATAACCTGAATAATGATGATAATAACCTTAATGATGATGAAAATAATCAATTACATTCAAAAAATAAGGCAAGTTAATTTTGCATACATTTCGCATGTACATCAATTTTGTTTTTCAAAACTGTTTTCTGGCTTTTGTTGTTGATTACTACTATTTTAGCAAGGACATACAGCATTACATTTAGCTGCACAAAAAGGACATAATCAATCAACACGTGTATTATTATTGGCCGGTTGTAAACCAAATGTTAAAAATAATGTAAGTTTTTTTTGGTGATGATGTTTGACTGACTTTGAATAACATTTTGTTTTGTTTTGTTTGTCATTAATTAGTTTGGCGATACACCATTACATAGGTATGTGATTTTTAATAATTTCATTTCATTATCATTTTGATCATTTTGGAAAATTCATTTTGTTTTTCAAGTGCATCACGTTATGGTCATGTTGGTGTTGTAAGAATATTAATCAGTGCATTTGCTAATGTTAATGAATTAAATAAGGTTTGTTTTAATTTTGTTTGAGAAAGTTCTTTCTTTTTTTTCTTAAATTTTAACACTAATCATTCCATTGAAATCTTCTATCTTCTCCTTTTGAATGTTTTTTTTAACAAATTGTTTAGAATGATGATACAGCCTTACATATTGCAGCAGCTATGAATCGTAAAAAATTGGTTAAAATTTTATTAGAAAATGGTTGTAATCCTACAATTGTTAATCGAGTATGTATTTTGATTATTATAATGTTGTTTTCTTTTACTGATTTCATTATGGGTGTGATGGGAATTTCAAACGAAAAAAAAAACATTTTTCAATTTTTTCCTTTTCGTAGCAAGGTGAAACACCAATGAATATTGCATTAAGAAAATGTTATTTTGATATACAAGAATTGATTGCATCACCACCACCATTAAAATTATTATATCATTCTAATAATAATAATAATAATAATAATTTAATTGATATTGAATTATCATCACGTAGTCATCATTCGAATAATGAAATTTGGTCCAAATCAAATCATGTTGTTAAAAATCATCATAATCATCATTCAAATTCAAATTCATATTATGAAAATTATCAACCTAGATCGGAAACATATTCTTGTGATCGATTAAATAAATGTCATTTAATAATGGATAATAAATATTATAATAATGATCATCGTGGTTATAATCATCATCGTTATAATCATCATTATAATCTAAATAATAATGATTATCATCAAAATCATCATTATAATTATAATTATAATAATTTAAAACGTTGTAAATCAGATTTTTATCAAACAACAAAAATTATTTATAATCAAAATAATGAACAGAATTTATTTAAAAATCAAGAATCAAGATCAATACTTACACCTACAACAGCCGCAACAACACGAACATCAAAAAATGAAATGAAAAATCGACAAAAAGTATCAAGAAAAAAATTACAACACCATACAACAGCAGCAGCAACACAATCTCGACGTACAATCAGTCCAGCAACAAGAAAATCACAACAATCAAATAAATATGAATCAGATTCAGATTCGGATTATCATGATGATGATCATGATTATGATAATGATAATCCATATGGTTCTTATCATTATTCATCTCATTCTCATAATGGTCATTATCCGATCAAAAATCGTCATCGAAATCATCATTCACGACAAAATATTCAACAATCACCAACAGCGACAAATGAACATAATGAATTAACAAAACCAAAATTAAATACATTACCATTGGATCCATTGGATAAAGGTGAAAAATATTTTATTGATCTTTCAGGTAATATACATAAAGGACCAATAATTGAAAATGATCATCATTTTATTGATAATAATAATATGGATTATAAATATAATGAAAATTATTATTATTTACAAAAACATCAACAAAATCATCATCATCATCATCATCAACAACAACACCGATCAAGATTAACAAAAAAGAAACTTTTAATTTGATATTTAAAAGTTGTAACAACAACAACGACAACAACAAAAACATTGTCAAGGTGTTTCATCCTCTCCATAGAAAGAAAGAAAGAAAATCTTTTGTTTTCTTTTTTCAAAACAAAAAACAAAACATTTCATCACTTTCAAGATCATTATGGTTGTTTTTGTCATTTTCTACTAATTACATATTTTCATTAACACTTTCAATTAACAAAAATAGAAAATTGATAATGTGACCATTTTGATCAAATATTGATGTTTTGTTGTATCTAGTCAAACAAGCAAACAAACAAACGAAATTTTCTTATTTAAAAAAATATGTAAAAAATGTTGATTGTAAAAAAACTTTTGAAAGAAAATCTGAATTTTATGAATAAAATGAATATTTTTTTTTATTTTTTTGATCAAACAATGTTTATATTTTTTGAGAATATGTGTCCATTTTATTACAAATTACCTGATAATAATAATAATAGTTAGCATAATAAGGTTCTTTTTATTTAAAAAAAATATAATTATAATTATAATACAGTATTGTTCGGTTATAATGATGATGATGATGATGAAAATTTAACCTTCCCGAAAATTTTTATTTATAATTTGTATTTTATTCGGTTGTTGTTGTTGTTGTTGTTGTTGCAATTCTCAATCATCATGTATGGAATTTTTTTTTAAATAAAATCTTGGAACATGAACCAAGAAAATGACTACAAATATAAACGTAAACACGTTCCTTTCAAGGATTTTGTTTTTTGTTTTTGTTTCTTTTGAAACAAACAAACAAACAAAAAATGTTTCATTTATTTCCTTGGATTTGGTGACATATGTGTGTGTGTCTGTGAACCAAAACAGTTTCTTCTATGTATGCAAATATTTTCATTTCAATTTTACGGTAGCCAAAAAAAAGCTTGAAAAGATCTTTTTTTTTTGAAGATGATACTGGCAACAAAACGAAACGAAACGAAAAACTAAAAAAACAAACAAATTATGGGAGACTGATGTGACAATTATTACCACACACACACACATTTTTATTTCGAAAGATGAAAACGAAAACAAAACAAAAACAATGATAATAAATAATGGTAATGGGACAATTTTACAATGATAAATGATGAATCAAATGAAATTAGTATCATAGTTTGATGATGATGATGAGAAAAATAAACATTATTTTTTTTTGTCGAATCAAATATGTATTTTGTTGTAATTTGTTTTGTGAACATTTTCATTTTCGTTTACGTTGGAACAACAAGACAAGAAAAAACGAATTGAAAATGATTTTCTGGGAGAAAGCAAAGGGTTACGAAATGTTTGAGAATTCAATGTTTTCATTAACATTGAAATGTCAATCCATGATTGATGGATGGATTGATGAATGAAAATATGGATCACATTAGGAAAAATAAAGGAATCTTTAATAGTTTTTATTATTACAAATTACAATGTGTTTTTTTTATTACAATTGAAATTATCTTGTTAGATTACTAATCATCATCATCATTATTAAAATAAAATAATTTGATTACTGATTACTTTCAGTTTATGAGAAAACTTTTCTCCTAGATTTTGTTTTTATCATCACTCCCAAAATTGTTGAAATGAATGTGATTATCACATGTGATTATCCAATAGAATTATATTAGAAGAAAAAAAAATGAATTTTACTCATCATCATCAGTCTAATCTGTCTATAGAATGAGAGCAAAAATGAAGAAATGATAATCATTACAAAACAGCAACACTCGTAGACAATGTCTGTACGTCAAGATAAGTAAAGTTTAGTAACAACAACAACAACAACAACAACAACACGTGTTTTTATAAAATCATTATCATCATTGTTGTTTTGACTAATTATAATAAGAATTAATTATTGTTTATAAATAAGTTTTATAAATTTGACAAAAGCAAAACAAAAACAAATTTTTGACAGCCAAAAATAAAATTTGAATATGAAACGAACGCCTCTCTCTCTCTCTCTTCATGCTTCAAATAGCAAATGTCCAGCAAATTGATTGTCTGTTTGGTCGTTTGTCATTATCATTATCATCATCGAACAAGTGTTTCAAAATCTATTTTTTGTCATTCATTCATTCAAATCATCATCATCATCAAGATCATCTCATTCATTATCATTATCATTGTTATGATGATGATGATGATGATGATGGTCAAAATTAATGAAGAAAATAATAATAATAATAATAATAATAATGGAATATTATTTGGGCTTTTGTTTTATTTTGAAGAAAATTCAAATTTTTTTTCCACGTTTTATTTTTGTTTGTTTGGAACGTGTATGACAACAAACAATACGGCAATCAAAACAACAACAACAAATTAATTAATTAAATCATCTTTTCAGTCAGAGAGAGAGAGAGAGAGAGAGAGAGAGAGAGAGAGAGAAACACACAGTAACACATACATACACAACTTATTATAAATATA